GTAATCCTGTGCCTACCCAGACTAAGAAGTGGGTAGGAGGTGGTGGTGGCCGCATACATAATCCTAATAATCTCACTAAAGCAGCTCCAGCTCGAGGGAATTTCTCCAAAGGATCTTGTTACAAGTGCGGAGACAAGTATTATTTCGGGCATGTTTGTGAGCAGAAAAAGTAGTTGAATGCGTTGCAAGTGGAAGAAGGTGGGGTGATATTACCTCCCATGGATTGGAGTGAAGATGAAGAGGACCTGATTCAAGCAGAAGAGGATGAGAATATTGAGCCCGAGGAGGTTCTTATGCAGGCTGTGGGAAATGGAGGTAATTCGAACTCTCTTGTGGTTAAAGGAAAGGTTAAAAAAACTAGAATGTATGTTCTTATAGATACGGGCAGCACTCATACGTTTCTAAATGAACAAAAAGCCATAGAATTGAGATGTGGATTGGATTCAGCTCCTCCCCTGAGAGTGAAGCTTGATGATGGCACTATTCTATTGAGTAAGAAGGTCTGCAGAGGGTTTACTTGGGAAATGCAGGGCCACATGTTTACCTATGATGTAAGAATTTTGAGCCTAGGCTCCAACGACATGGTTTTGGGGCTGGATTGGTTGAGAACCATCAGTCCGGTTAAGTTTGATTTTGTGGAATTACAACTATTCTTTGATCTAAATGGAGAAGAGGTAGTATTGAAGGGAGTACAAGATTATGGCAGCAGCAAGGCAATGACAGGCAAGGGTTTACAGAAGTACATTAAGTAGAAGATTCCCATTTGGGCTGGCAATTGTTCAACATTGTTGCTGTCCCATCTGTCTCAGGTGATGTTCCAGCATTCCTAGCTCCTATTTTATCCGAGTTTGCTGATTTATTCAGGAAGCCAACTTCTCTTCCACCAGTCAGGGATTGTGATCACATGATTCCACTACAGCCGGGTTCGAAACCGGTAAATCTGCGACCCTACCGTTACTCTTTACCACAGCAGATTGAGATGGATAAATTGGTGAAAGAAATGCTAGCGGCTCAGTATGTTCAGCCCAGTCGTAGTCCCTTTGCTTCACCAGTGTTATTGGTACGCAACAAGGATGGATCGTGGAGGTTTTGTGTGGATTATAGGGAATTGAACTCTTTGACCATTAAGGATAAATTTCCAATACCGGTTATTGATGATCTTCTAGACGAGTTGAAGGGAGCTAAATATTTTACCAAGCTGGACTTGTTGTCTGGGTATCATCAGATCAGAATGAGCCCCCAAGATCAATACAAGACAGCTTTCCGAACTCATCGAGGCCATTATGAATTTGTCATTATGCTGTTTGGGTTGACGAATGCGCCGGCAACGTTTCAATCCTTAATGAATGAGATTTTTGCAGAGCATCTCCGAAAATTTATTCTAGTGTTTTTCGGCGACATTCTGGTTTACATTCCCACTCGGGAATCTCATGTGGAACATCTGGAATTAACTCTCAGAATTCTCCGGAAGCGAACCCTTTTTGCTAAACCCTCTAAGTGCACATTTGGGCAAACTCAGGTCGATTATTTGGGTCACAGAATCAATGAGGAGGGGGTATCTACTGATCCAGGAAAGGTTGAAGCTATGGTATCTTGGCCGGTTCCAAAAATAGTGAAGGAGCTTAGAGGATTTCTTGGCTTGAAAGTTTATTACCGTAAGTTTGTTAAGAATTACGGGTTGATTGCTAAACCCCTTACGGAGTTAGTCAAGAAGAATTGTTTTCAGTGGTCCAATCCAGCTCAGAGGGCTTTTGAAGTGCTAAAGGCAGCCATGACTCAAGCGCCAGTTCTTGCTTTGCCAGATTTCTCATTGCCCTTCACCCTTGAAACAGACGCTAGTGACATAGGAGTGGGGGTTGTTCTGTCACAGGAGGGAAGTCCCTTGGCATACCTTAACCAGCTTTTATGGCCACGAAAGCAAGGTCTCTCGACTTATGAAAAGGAATACTTGGCGGTGTTGTTTGCGGTTACTAAGTGGCGTCATTACTTGGAAGGGCGTCCATTTGTGATTCTTACAGACCATGAGAGTCTGAAACACTTGTTGGGTCAGAAATTACACGCACAGATACAACGTAAAGGTATGGTGAAGTTGTTGGGATTGGACTTTGAAATCCGTTACCGTCAAGGGAAGTACAACAAGGTAGCCGACACTCTTTCTCGGCATCCTAATTTCTCTACATCAGACCACTGCAGTTCGATCATAGCAGCATTACCAGCATGGTTGGCAGAGGTGGAGTCTACTTACATTGGTGACCAAGAAGTTCAAGCCTTGTTGACAGCTGCTGCTGTTCCTTTCACAGGCCCTCGGATTCATGAAGTAAAGCAGGGTCTCCTGTACCACAAGTCTTCATTATATGTGGGTTCTAATGGCAATATGAGAGTTCAATTACTTCACCTCTTCCATGGTTCTCCAGTGGGGGGTCACTCGGGCAGGCAAGCAACTTACCAACGCATCAAGCGATATTGTTGGTGGCCTGGGTTGAAGAAGCAGGTGACTGAGTTTGTAGAAGGTTGTGATGTATGTCAGCGATGCAAGACAGAAACAGTTCCCTATCCGGGTTTATTACAACCACTACCTATTCCAGATCGTGCGTGGCCACATATATCGATGGATTTTGTGAAAGGACTTCCTAAATCAGGAGGCAAAGAGGTCATCTTTGTGGTCATTGATCGATTCTCCAAATACGGACATTTCTTCTGCTTGTCCAGACCTTATTCTGCAGCTTCGGTGGCCCAAGTATTCTTTGATGGAGTGTTCAGGTTACATGGACTTCCACAAACCATTGTTTCAGATCGGGACACTATTTTCACGAGTGCCTTTTGGACCAAACTTTTTGAGTTACAGGGGGTCCATCTACACTTCTCTACCGCCTATCATCCCCATACGGATGGGCAAACGGAACGTCTAAATCGTTGTCTGGAAGATTACTTGCGTAGCATGATCCACCATTCTCCCCCAGCAGTGGCATTCCTGGAGTTCTATGGCAGAGTAGTGGTGGTACAATACTAATTACCACACAAGCTTGCAGATTACTCCGTTCGAGGCACTATATGGGTTTCAGTCTTGGTGTTTATACTGCTGGATTCTACTATTGACTCGCTCCTACTGTCACTCTAGAAAATGGCCAAGTGTAACCACTTCCTAAAGCGTAGTATAGCGGGTTTGGGTTTTATTATCAACCCGGTTCCTAGATGTGATGACTACTCAGTGAATTCGTATTATCTAGCAATGAAACTTTGGTGAAGGTCTAAACTAGCAAGCAAGCAAAGCAACTAAACGGTTGTATTCAGGTTAAGAGAGGTCACCCGGATATGGTTCCCCCTAGACTGCAGTTAAGCCGGATTGTAATTGCCAAGTTCAATTTCTATGATAGTTATACTGCGGAAGGTTCTCAAACAGTCTGAAGTCTCGACTAAAGGTCTTCAGACCCTCTCAATCTGAGTCTCTAGCTGGCGACTAACCTACACCGGAGTAAACAGATTGAGGCCCTAAGAACAAAACCTCCACTACCGGAGTAAAACCGGTACAGAATAGTGAATTGGCTCCTCGACTAAAGTCACCAATTCACTACCTTCGATTAAGGATACTCTATCAACCTAGGCAGATATTATCATTCTAGGTTAAAGCAGAAACAACAGGAATTTGATCAGGATTCATGCCATTCAATCATTCAAACCTCAATCGAATATAATCAATATCATAGAATCAATACTTGGGTTCATACAATTAAACCTAACATACAGAACTAGGGTTCTCCATACCCAGATGAATGGGAGAACTACTCCATGGAGAGGGAAGCAAAAGCAGAATCAGACGCGGAAGTCATACTGTGAAGATGGATTTCTGCTTCTGGACGTTGAATCGGCACCTCTCCAAGCTCAAACCAAGCTCCAATGGTGTTGAAGATCGATCTAGGGCACTTGGAGGCTCTTGTTCGTCACTTTCTCTCTCTAGGAACCGCTCTGTCTCTCAAAAAATCCAATCCTCCTTCTGTTTGGCTCGGAATCCGCTTAAAAACCAGACTTTCCCGACTCGCACGGCCAGGGTGCACGGCCGTGCACATCACCATTCTGGCCGTGCACTCCAAAACGCGGCGTATCAATTAGTTGAACCTCAGCCAACGCGCACGGCCAGGATTGCACCTTGCACGGCCGTGCGGATTTCACTTGTGCCCGTGCGTGGCCACGCACAATCCCGCACGGCCAAACTGGTCACTTGCACGGCCGTGCGTGGCCACGCACAATCCCGCACGGCCAAACTGGTCACTTGCACGGCCGTGCGGGTTGTGGGTGTGCCCGTGCGACTTCCTCAGAACCTCGCCATGCGTCCGATCCTCGTCCAATCGACCTCAAACTCGCTCCCAAGCCTCCATTCACGTACTAGGACCTGAAATATCATAAACAAGCACAACCTAGCGTGAAATCGGCCTAAAACACGAGAATCAATACCTCAAACGGAGTAAGAGCAGGGGTAAAAACATGTGTAACTAACGGTCTATCAACTATTGTTATGGGTTTCTAGAATATGAGTTTCGGCTTATCAGAATGGGATTCGAACGCGCGGCAAAATTTGGGCTCTTCTCTTAATCCTCAACCAACTCTTCCTCACTTTGATATTGCTATCTTCTTTTTTCTTCCTAAATTCAGAATAAAGATCCCCTAATTATCATGTTTTCTTCCTATCGAACTCTAGGTTCGTCAAGTTGTTGAAGCAGAGCATATTTGGAAGCTATAGAGAGGTGCGGAGAAGAGGCATATCTGCATATTTTGTACAAGGTAATTATTCTTCTATCTCAGCTTACTATTGATTTTTTCTTATTTTCTTATACGGGTTGCCTTGCTTTCTTCGTTTCTTTCAACTCTTTGACGGTTGTGGTTTTCCATTGTGGCAGCAGAATGGTGGGCACTGGGCACCAGGGCATGGATTGTATACTTATATATTTGACCGAAAGGTAAAGGCGTTTCATGAGAGTTGTGCTGCTGGAAAAAATGCGCACGGAGAATTGATCGCCAAGTTGGTTGTTTCCTGAATGTCTACGGAGTTCGTCAGACAAGCAAGCTGTAGGACATACTTGATCCACATAGATGTACCAAGATTATTTTGCAGCAAGGTAATTAATAATTAAGAATAGCTAATTGGTTGTTGATTTTGTTATTAATTTAATTAATAAGAATTTACCTTTCTGTTTGCAGGGTCTCACAAGTTGGGAATTCCGTATTTGGTCTGACCAAGAAGTCATAGCAAGCCAAGCCAGATAAGTAATTTGTGCATCTGTAGGTGGCTTTTCATTCAACTATTAGCAATTGATTTTTTATAGCTCAGCCATTAGCAATTGTTAGTGTCTGTGTATTCATGTAACTATTGTTCCGTGAGGTTATCCTTTGGGAAGTAAAGAGTGAATACGTAAAGATGTCTCATTTAGGTATAGAAAAGTTTTAGTTCGTAGTTGAAACATGGTTAAACCATTTTTTACAAGACTTTGAATTGCTCTCATGAAGCATCATCACGTTGCCGCCGTGTCTTGAAATTCAGATTGGTAAATGATTCTTCTAGGTGCAACGTCAAAGTTAACAATCATATTTCATACATTTAAGGGATGTTCATATTGGAGTTCATTTGGTGACTCTTCTGTGTCTGTTCCGCTGGCTTGCTTTATGGATGATGTATTTACAGAGAACCTTAAGAACAATTCCCAGTCTATTCCATTGGCCATTGAGGGTTGTGGATAAGACCCTTCCGTAAAATCCTGTTGTGGCCATTTAATTTGAATCAAACACTACTATTTGTTTGTTTAAACTTGGTGATTGTTGTCCTCCTGAAGATGGTTTTGGATGGCTCATCGTGTGGAATGCTGATGTGAAGAATTTGATGACGCGAAATTGGAACAACACATGAGACAACGATTTAACGTGGTATCCTCGATCGATTGATTGATCGAGACTAATCCACGGTGAGCTCATAAGAGCTCACGGCTTATCTCTTATTAGGATTACATCTTGACGGCTTGCTATCACACAAGTCGATAGTTAAGCTTATATAGATAAACTTAGCGTTAAAACCCTAACCCAACGAATCAGACGAGGCCCAACAAGGCCCAATACTAACACGGTTTAAGTAACCGCAACACTCCCCCTCAAGCGAAGACATGAATGACAAGAATGTCGAGCTTGAAGAAGTAAATGTGAAGAACAAGCATGATGGCTTGAACCACAAAACTCGAGATGAATAACATCTCGGACAAGGTTGATTGGAGACGAATGACTCTCTCTGAACAACCTGATGATGGAGACGATTGACTGCGTCTCTTGAACTTGAACACACTTGGTACATCGCGGTCGACCTAATGACTGAGTTAGTCGACCGACGTATGTTGACCTCCTATTCTCCCCCTCAAGCTGGAGCATGAACATCGTGAATGCCCGGCTTGAAAAGCGATGGATGGTTGATATGTGCCCAATGATGAACCAGAAGAGGGGACAGTCATTTCTTTGATCGTGAATGCCTGCTGGACGATGAAGGGACGATGACTTCTCTTATCGTACTACCTTTTGAACACCAGGGGACGATCATTTTATGGATCGTGAATGCCTCAATCGATAATTGACTATAGTTGATGGTGGAAGCCTTTTGGTTTCGCCAATTTTCCCTAGTGCCCCCACCTTTATCACCCGCAACACTCTTTCTCGGTGGACTAAGCTGACCATGACAAAGATGAAGTGGACATGACATTCCTTTTGTCAATTTGATCCACAGCCAAGCTTTAATTATTCCATACATCTTGATCATGAAGCCAAAACTGCCAAATATTCTAACGTGGTGATAAAGTTCTTCAATGTGATAGCCGTGAGTGCTTGATGAAGACGACCGGGCCGCAACAATGACAATGCTTCTCGACAAACATTGGAACCAGCAGGGTCTTCGAAAACATGAAAGCTGGGTGGAACGGACTTGGACGACCGAACAAGCTTCAAGACATTGCAGCCTCATTACTGGTAGCGGAGTGAGAATCACGAGACCGGCGACATTCTCTCTGCGAGTGGGGCCAAATCTCTCTCTCCCGATTGTGACGATAACTGCGACTGGGAGCAAAGGGTCGGCTTGTGACGAGCCGTCGATGAAGTTGGAGCAGCTACAGGTGAGGGCTTTCAACGACGAAGACGCCGCGGTCACTGACCTGGGCGGCGGCTGTGAGCAGTCCGCAGACGCTAATGGGCGATGGCGGTAGATGACGACGACGACCGGTGACGAGACAACGGGTTAGCAACGTCGGGGGCAGCCGGACTTGCTGTTGGGCTTTAGAACCGGCGTTGCACGAAGGTGGACCGTCACTTTAGCTGTTTCTTCTTCGTCTGACCTTGATTGGCGATTGATAACCCACGGCAGACTCGACTTCGTCTTGGTGGGCGGGACTACTAACTGAACTGGTTGTGGATCGAGACTTCGCCTTGGCGACGCGGCAATTGACGATTGATGATTACGGGAGAAACAATGGAGACCGACTGCGGAAACTCAAAACCCTAGACAAGGGATCGAGTTTTGCTCTGATACCATGAAGAATTTGATGACGCGAAATTGGAACAACACATGAGACAACGATTTAACGTGGTATCCTCGATCGATTGATTGATCGAGACTAATCCACGGGGCTGATCTCTTATTAGGATTACATCTTGACGGCTTGATATCACACAAGTCGATAGCTAAGCTTATATAGATAAACTTAGTGTTAAAATCCTAACCCAACGAATCAGACGAGGCCCAACAAGGCCCAATACTAGCACGGTTTAAGTAACCGCAACATGATGGTGGATATGTGATTTTAAGTTTGATGTAAATAGATGTTACGTTTATGGTTTCAATTCTCATCTTGGTGGTTTGGTGGTTTTTTTGGTGTGGGTTTCCTTGAGTTGCAATAGTTATGTCAGGGTCTCAAGGTTTTTGGCGTTTGTTTATGGATAAATGTTACGTAAGGGCCATGATCTATGAATTAGTGTTGACCAACGTGAATGAGAAAATTAAATGTATATATGTATTGGGAAGCTCTAATTGGTTTTTAAACTATGGATGACTTGCTGATTTTTACTGTTAATTTTTTCAGTTTCTTTTTATTTTATTAAAAAATTAGTTGGATATAAATCACACATACCACATTATAACACTTTCTCTTTTGCGAATGTATCACAAATCTCTGCGCGGAGCGCGGGTTTGAAAACTAGTAAACATAATAGCCGATTGAAGAGGTGAATAGGCCAAGGACAAAATGACTTCAATTTCAAATATAGATAGCAAAATGACTTCAAATATAGTAGTAAAATCACTAATCTTCAACTTAGAAGTCTCATGTATGGATATCTTAAGTAGTATTTAATTAGAAAAAGTAACATATATCACACTTATCGGAAAAAACAGACCCTTTCCTATTATTATTGACCCAAGAAGGGTCAATACTACTATCAATTCTTACTAATACACAACTAAATCATTACTAATCTCAACAATTCTAAATTGTAAAATGTATAATTAAACGACGTAAGCAACGTGATGACAATAATAGTTAATTCCACTTATATGGTCTCTCGAGGAGTTCCACACCTCCTTTCTAAATAATAAATACCATGTTTCCTTCTTCACGTCTTCAAACATCGACACATATTTAACCGGGACAAGAATTTGCATATGATCCACGATCATTGACCCAATAATCAAGAGGCAAAGCTAGGAACCGAAGCATTAATGTTTTTTTAATCCCAGTCAAACCGTTTCTTCTCCTTGCCTCCTTGGTGGAGAACTAGCAAGACTTTCATTTATTATTATTTTTCTTATTTTATTTGTTAATTACAATGGAAGGAAAAGAAAGAAGAGAAGTGGAAGAAGGTAAAGTTTTCGTTGACAAAGTGATGCGAACTCTCTATCTCATGGTCATGGCCCAAAGCTTCCATTGCATGGGGCTCTTGTTAGTTTGATCTGCCAAGTCAACAAACGCGCTAAAATTAAAGGAAAAAAGGAAAATACTAATTACTGTTGGATAGGTAATTAACTACAATTTTACCTTTCATGACGATATTCAGTTAATTAAATCCAGTAGTCTTCGATCGCTAACAATATTCAGTACTTAATTACCACAGACGCCACCAATATACAACGATGATTAATTAAACGTTTCGAGAGATCGCGTCCTCACGTTAGACCATTATATTAACTAGACCTGTAATCAAGAAAGTTCAATTAATCTAGAAAAGAAGGGGGAAAAGCAACACTCAACTATTTCATGTCATGAACCAGTTGGACCCAATAACTCGACTTGTTGGGAGAATGTTATACTGGATCTTATACAGGTCCACCGTCCATGTATAGTACTTAATTACTTCCTTACACGCCCCTTCAAACGAAAGCCGACTCGTGAGCTTGAAGTTTGCACAGGCCGTCATACCATGTGCTTGAAAGACAACGGTTAATATTGGAGGTCGCGAGGACTTGAACACGTGATCTCAAGGATAAACCAACTCTGATATCATGTCAAGAACCAGTTACTCCCAACAACTCGAGTATTGGGACCAACTGGTTCATGGCTTGTCAAAATTCCATTAAACGAATCCAAATATTAATGATTTCTTGTAATGAGTTCCCAAAGAAAGGACACAAAAAAGTCACAGTACTTACCACAAAACGTAACTGAAAGCCAAACAAAAGTCACCCTACCTAGACAAAAAGTTAAGACTTATGAAACAAGCATTCCATTAGGTTAATTATACTCCATCCAATTAATTAGTTAATAACACCAGTGTTTGTGAAAACGTACCGTATCGACGGTCAATCGAATAAACTTCCTATAGAAATTTATAGTGGTCGGCAATTTTAACGGTATGAAACGGTTTAATTCTAATAAAACCACGATTTCAATACAAAATATCTTCTCACTGACTTTTTCCCTATATAACCTTCGATATGATTTCACAACTCTTGAATAATACCAATACCCCATTTTTAAATGTTGGTGAATAGGACTATTACCATAACTGGGGCCTCCCTCCCTATACCCCTTTGGTTGGCTGGACAGGGACTAGTGGTTGCAACAAAGTTATAACAAACTAATAAATTTAACCAAATACACATATCTATTCTGTTAAGTTGTTGATGAACTACAACTTTAGTTATGACTTATTGTGTCCTTCTCTTGCATGCTATGGGACACACGACCCATAATTCTCAGGGCTAAAAATCTTCTCCATCATCATTCATCACCAAGTAAACCCTAACCTAATCTCCCTCCACCAAACCACCCTCTCTCTCTCTCTCTCTTTCTTTCTATCTTTCACACACAACCAGAGAAAAGATCCTTCTCTCTGTTCTTTCCCCTATAAATACATAAAC